TCTCCTCTTTCCCATACCTAAGAAAAATTCCTTCGTTATCATACCACTAAAAAAAAAAAAAAAAAAAAAAAAAACAAGAGCCAGGTGTGGTGGCACACTTCTGTAATCTCAAGCAGGAGGATCACTGGGGACTCAAGGCCAGCCTGGGCTGCAGAGTGAGTTCAAGGCCAGCTGGAGCTACATAGCAAGACCTGTCTCAAAAAAAGTACCAACCAGTCAATTGGACCAGCAAAATAATTATGGCATTATTTATTTGTAATATTAAGTAGGTATAACTTTTTATGTATTTAGTACAGGGTTTACAGGGTTTCACTATATAGAATGGACTTATAGTGATCCTCCTGTTTTCAGCCTCCCATGCACTGGGATCACAGGAGCGTGCCACTGCACCGTCTCAATCACTGTCTCAGTGTGCTGCAGGGTGGGGCCATCACGGCATGCCGGGGATCGAACCCCAGCCACTGCATCTACCTAAGCAATCTGGTAGGCAATCAGCCCTAATTAGGTATAATTTTTAAATGGTAAAATGACTGCAATAAAATGTTAAATGATAGAACAGTCCACAACATGCTCTATACCATAACTATAAGAATAAAACAGCATGCATATGGAAAAGGAAAGAAAATAGTTTTAATTGCCAACCCATTTTAGCACTGGGTGATTTTTCTTTTTAAAAAGTTTTTGTTATCTGTGCAATAAATTCTGAAACAGATTTGCAACCTGTAAAAGTATATTTGGCTAAGATTAGTAGAAAAGGAAGTGAATTATCTATGTGGCCTCATTTTGAGGAGTATCTAATTCAAATTTCCTACTACACAAAGAGAAGACGATAAAAATTAGATCATCCCTGATCTTTATTATTTTTAGACCACTAGATTTAGCTGTCACATATCTGAAAGTGGCAAGGTGATGCCTCAGACATGCTAATTGTAGAATCAAATTATCGCTGTAGAGATAACTCAGCAGCATAAGCGCCTGCCTGGCAAATGCACAGTCCCAAGTTCAATTCCTGGTACCAAAACCCCCACAAATTATCCTTCATTACATGCATGTTCAGTTACTTTTCTCATTGCTGAGACAAAAATACCCAACACCCAGAGTTACTGGAGTTCAGTCCATGGTTGGCTGGCTCTAAGGCAGTGTGACATAAATGAGGGCATCACCGAGTAGAAATACTTCATGACAGAGCAGGCAGAAGGCGGCAGCAGCAGGCAAGCAACCCTCTCTCTGTTCTTTATATTACGTCCAGGCTACCCACTATTAGGGGTGCCCTTGGGGAAGCACCCTTAGTCCTACCCAGAACTATGCTAAATCAATCAGTGAACTAATTTAGTAATCACACATTCTTGATCACAGCATCACACACTCCGGATCCTGCCACCTCCGCAAAGCCCCACCTATGACCATGTGAGGCTTTCGGGGAAGAGCTAGACACAAGCCATAGCAATGTATTACATATACAAAACCTAATATAGTAAAATCTCAAGTTATTTATTTTGAGGGCTAGGGAGATAGCTCAGTGGCATAAGTGCCTGAGGCCAATACAAGGTCCTGAGTTCGATCCCCAGTACCGGGAAAAAAAAAAAGTTTGGTTCAGTTATCTATTTTGGTTAGGGAAAATAATTATCTTGTCAAACTTCTAATGAATAGTAGAGGATCAAATATTTACAGAGAAAACTGTAAGACAGCAAATAGGATTCTTGCCTGGATTTCTGTATCATTTTCTGAATGTTGCTTGAATTTGATATATGCTGCGAAACTGAATCAACAGCATACACTTAAAGAATACACTTAATGGTGCACATCTCCTAACTATAGACTGACCCCATGTAGCTGTTGACTCCATTTTTTTAAATCTACCTAGAAAGTGATCCCAAGTCAATCTGCCTTAACTGTGCCTCTTTTTACTGAGGAGGGAAACACTTGCCTCCGTTCCTGACGGTGCCTCAAGACTGAGAGAACTCCAGTTCTGCGTGACGTTCATGGCTCCTCCTATCTCTTTATGATGCCTTGTGAGAAGGCAGGGAAGGTCTGAGTTCTCAGAACGGACTGCTGAGCCGCCAGCTCTGAGGGAGAGACTCTCTCTGCAGCATATTATTTTGGTTCCAAACTAGCATATCTGCTAGTACCTGGACTAGCATCGGGCTGCTGAACAGACCCCTGAAGAAGCAGCTTCCCAGCCTTCCTCGGCCTCTACTTGAGTCACAATGGGTCAAACACACCTACAGCGACAGAGTTATGTTTACTATCACTTCTCACAAACAGGTGGCACACAAACCCGCATATTTTTCTGCATTCATGTAAAAGGAATGACTTATGGAGAACACCTAAAGACAACTGGTGCATAAGTGCTGTTGGCCCTACTTTGGAAAGACAATCGTGAGCTTTCCTAAGTCTAGAACTTCTTTGAGCATGCAGTAAAACAATGCTTCCCAAATTTTATGATCCATCAGAATCATCCAGAGGACTTCTTAAAGGTTTTACCAGACTTTTAAAAACATTAATAGATTTGTAAGTTTAGAATGGTTTCAGGAGTCCTGAAAATTTGTAAGAATACAGGAGTTTTTACACATCTTGCTTCCCATTTCTCACTTTTAACATTATCATGATACATCTAATACAGCTACTTAAACAATGCTGATATTTCATTATCACTTAAGGTTCATATTTTATTCAAATTTACTTATTTATTTATTTAATTTATTTCTTTATTTTGTAGGACAGGGTCTACAGGGTCTCACTACTAGATCGGACTCATAGTGATTCTCCTGTTTTCAGCCTCCCAAGCGCTGGAATTACATGTGCGGGCCACCACGCCCAGTCTCAGTCTCTGTCTCAGCATGCCCCAGGGGTGGGGCCGGCACGGAACAATGTGGGTCGAACCCCGCAAATTTTCTTAACTTTTAACCAGAGCCATTTTTTTCTGTTCAGAACTTCAATGAAGAGATCACATTATACTTAGTCAGGATATTCGTTTGGTTCCTCTAGATGAAGTTTTGTAGACTCTGTTCTTGAAAATTCTGAATGTGTTGAGGAATACCTGTTGGTCACCTGTTTTTGTATAATATCCTTCAGTTTGGGCTTTCTTGGTATTGGACAAGAGCTATGGGTCCCAGCAGGAAGACTACAGAGCCCAAATGTCGCACCCATCACATGTTGCGCGTACAAGCTACCAACATAATTTTTCAGGGCTGAAGTAAGACTGTCCTGCTTTATTTTTTTTT